CGTAACTTCGTTCCAACGAAGCTTTAACGACACAAGTCTTTACTTAATAAAACTGGTTTATTCTTTCCGAATATAACTCTGCGATACACTTAATCTCAATACTCGCGCTAAAACAACACTGTAACGAACGAACGTTAACTTCAACAATACCGTGTGACTGCAGTTCAATTACTCACTATCTACACCTTCCCGCGTCACGTTGTCCCCTCTTATATATATCCGCCTACCATATATCTAGTAAGAACTTGAACATTCGCCAAAGTACATGATAGTTCTAGAAACGTTGCGTCATAGTAGTCATGTGACTCGCTGACGCAACAACACTAATAACTAAGGATGTTGGTGAGCATTTGGATGGTCAGTTCTAGCTTGAAATGAGAGGATCCGATTCAGCAGGCTTTAACCTGTGTTATAACAGAACTAATATAATAATAGGTGAAAATATCTTTTTTTTGGGGGGGGGGGTAGTATCAAATTTAGAACATTACCTATAGAAATATTTTGATATAGAAAAGAATGATTAGGCATTGACAAGTAAATATATTACAGAATGTTTCTTTTTATTCTGAGTGTAAGCTATAAAGTAATATGGATTTTTTACACAATTTATTTAAATTATTCATCCTTGTAAGTTATAAAACTGAATTTACCATTTCCATGGTATTAACTTGTTAAACTAGAGATTGAAGGATTTAATGTATCTTAACTTTTGATATATACATTGTGATTGATGAAGTTATTAATGAATGCATAAAGTTTTAAAATCTCATCTAAAATCATTGATTTGTTTAAATAGTTTGCAAATAATTACAAAATAATGTTTCATATAAATCGTTAACTTAACTGTGAACTGATGAATATTTTTGTTTTCCTGTCAGATATTTCTGATATATTTGCCCAAAGCACAGAGGATTTTACTATTGGAGACAAGATTTGGGTAAATGGCAATAAATCAGGTTATATCCAATATCTTGGAGAAACCCAGTTTGCTCCAGGGCAGTGGGCTGGAGTTGTACTGGATGAACCTCTTGGTAAAAATGATGGTTCTGTTGGAAGCATTCGGTACTTTCAGTGTGAGCCTAACAGAGGAGTTTTTGTACGTCCCTATAAACTCTCACATTTCCCTACTAGCCCAAACAGTGTAGCTGCCAATGATGCTATGCAGTTAAGTTTAAGCAGAGCATCGACGACCCATTCAGGAGGGATATTAACCAGTTCGACTACACAACTGCCATGTTCGTCACCAGTTATAAGTATGAAGGATGGAACAACACCTCCTGGGATGAGTAGTAATACCACTCCTGATGATGACCAAGTTAAAGTTGGAGATCGAGTTGTAGTCAATGCTACTAGTGGCATCAAGATAGGTACTCTTCGTTATCTTGGAACCACTGAATTTGCTATGGGACAGTGGGCAGGGATTGAATTAGATGAACCCCAAGGAAAAAATGATGGCTCAGTTGCAGGCAAAAGGTATCTAAATAGTGAAAAACTTTTTTTTTTGTCATATAAGTTATTTATTTATAATATTTGCTACTTTTTAATTATCTCAAACATAAGTCTCTTAAATATTTTAAAATATAATTCTTTAATATACCCAACAAATTACTACTGGTAAATCAAGTTCTTAATGTCATTTCAGTTGAAGTTTTTAATTGAAGTTGGGTCTTTTTATTTAATGTAAGAGACATAATTGAATAGCAGAAGGTTGGAAGATCTGGACTAACTTAAAAATAAATGAGTAAATCTTCAGATATTTTTCAAGCAAAATTATAAAATATGTTTCTACAAAATGGACAAACAACTTGCCATAATGCCATCTACACCTTTCTGAATGTTTGAATTCTGATTGAATCAGATCAGGTAGTAGCATGTGAATACTTTGTATTGGTTGAGTACAGTGGTGAAATTCTGCTGGTACTAAATACCAGAACTTGTTTTTTAAAGTGGTACTGGTATCAAGACTTATTTGAGTTTTTTTTTTACAGATGCGTATTCATTCCATTGTTCCGTCAGAAAGCATTTATTCTTCGACACTCAAATCATCGTTTTTTTATGTTTACACATAGATTTTCTTTTTCAAAAAACAGGCCCACTTCACCCAGCTGAGTACCACTACTTTTATTTTGAGAATTTCACCCCTGGTTGAGTAACAGATTTAAAACTGTTTGGTTAGGTTAAAGAACTAAATTATTATTGTTAAAAATTGTTGAAGTAAATCTATTGTGCACTGTTTATAGATTGGTAATAGCCTTTTCACCAGTTTCTAACTAGAAAGTATCTTTAAAAGTTGTGACTGACTTTCAGTGTTGTTGTTTTTCTGATTCAGTTAATAAATATCACTAATTTGTAACTTATTTATTTTTGTGAAATTACGTTTAGTTTTCATGAAAGTTCTTCATTTAAACATTATAAAAATATTCTATGGTTGTTTAACTTAAACTTTGTATGGTGTAGACTTCATGTATGATTTGATGTAATTTTTTGAGTTATTAATGGATATTGCTTATGAAGAAGATAAGATAATGAGTAAAAATGCACTAGACCAACCAATGAAATTAACAAAGTTTGAGCTGATATAATTTGGTAAATTGTTTTAAATAGGTAGACTATTAAATATACCTCCCAACCTTTTATTTTTATGCAGATTCATTTCTTTGTTAGAGTGTTTTTGCAAATATTATATATTTAATGGTAGCTTTTAGTGAGAAAAGCTTTAACTTTCTATTTTTTTCTCTTTTGTCTTTAAGATACTTTGAATGTGTAATGAAGTATGGCTTGTTTGCTCCTATTCACAAATTAACAAAAGCTGTGGGAGACACTAGCATTGCTCACTTTACCTCAAGTATGGGCCCACTGCTTCAACATCGGACAGGAAGTCATGAGTCACTCATTAGCTCCATCAGTTCTACATCTAGTGCTGCATGTGGTGTCAATAGAGTGAGGCTAGAAGTGACATCACCTACTAGCCCACAGGTACTGAGCTTTTACTTTTAGTTATTTTATTCCTGTATCATTTTGTAATTTTCTGAGTATTTGTGCTAACACCATAAATGGCTGTTGTTATTTATTTGTAATGAGAACATGGTAATCTTCTATATCTCATTGAAAATCCACGATTTTTGGATTTGTTTACATCCATTTAAGAGACACTGAACTTGGTAAGTTTGAGTAGGTATGCTTTATAGTCAGTTATTATTTAACATAACATATGGACAATAAGGGACCATTTGGTCCTTCAAGGCTGTTCTGGCCTAACCACCCTAGAGAAAAGTAAACTTTTAAACCATCCTTTACTTTTTAGGAAATCATCGATTCCCCTCTTAAACCCCCCATTAAGTGCTGGCCTTCACCATAGCTGATAGAAATTCATTTAATAAGTCAACTATCCTGTTGGAAAAATATAATTTGTATTAACTGCAGTCTAGCCTGTCTTTTCCAAATCTTAAATTTGTGTCAGAGTATAGCACAAAGAAATCAGAGCTGTAATTCTGTTGATCTCCTGGATAATTTTGAATAATTACCTCCTAACCATCTTTGAGAGATCTTAATCTATCTCTGTAAGAGAACCCTCTCATCCCCAGAATCATCTTAGTAGCCGTCCTCTGAACCCTTTCTAGTAAACCAATATAATTTCTTAAATAAGGTGACTAAACTGTACACAGTATTCTAACTAAGGCTTAACTAGCAATTTTTATTGAGATAATTACCTCTTTTGAATTATAGTCAATATGGCAATAAATACACCTTAAAATCCTTTATGCATTTCCACTGCTAGAAACAGAGCACTGTTTCAATGGCTTCAGTGACTTATCCATCATTATATGTGAAGATCCTTTCTTTCAATCACGCTATAGAATTGGTTCTTATGTATATTAAATGGGTGATATAAATTATGAAAAATTAAATGCATTACTTTGTACTTTCTGACAAGCAACCAATTCATTACAGTATCCTTTCTTATCATTTTCATCATTTCCTAAATAATTCAGTAAAAATAAATGTTAATTTATGATGTTGTCATAATCCAGTTTACATTTATAGTGAATGTAGCCTCTGAAAGCATGGTGTTGCAGTAAACAAGATGCTTCCCATAAGCATGCCTTACAGAGACCTTGATAATGTTGAAGAGTCTATACTTGTTACTGACTATTTCTTTTTTGCCAGAAATTGCTTTTATAGATAAGTTAATTCATTCAGACCCTAGCTTTGATTTTAAAGATATTCATGTTCCACAGACTGATTCATCAACTGTAATAATTCAGTAAATGGCACTCAAAAATGTGCTAATATCAGTTCTGTTTTTAATTTGGATAGATAATTTGATTGTAAAATATTTCCCATTTAATATTTTGGAATAGATTATTTGGAATGAAGCTATAATACATAATTTCCATGGTTACAAGCAGAACTTGACTGTTAATAATAGCAGTCATTCATTTATTGGTGAAATTTGGTTATTAGTTGTTAGCTAAAATGTATTTGATGAGGATTTATTGCTCATTATTTGTATTATCAATTCTTGTTAGTTTGTGTTATAAATTCACTGAGAACCAACTTAAACTTTAAACTTAGTTATTGTAATGAGCGAGAGTAAGAAATCATATTAGTTTGATTTCAAAATTGTGGGTTTTTGATTAAGGTTTATTTTTGGAAACATTAAGAAATGAATGGAAAAAAAGAGCAGAAAACTGATTGATCTGTGTTTATATTCCAATATATCATTTATATTTGTGTGGTATTTCCAGGTCAAACTGGTTTCACTTAGAATGGCAAGATAGGTCCACAAAATAACAGGAGATTAGACAAGATATTGTTACTAAGAAATTCTGAATTCTCTGAGTCTGCGTTTTGTGAGAACTAAAAAGGATGAACTGCAGAAATACGATAAACAATCTTTATTAAATACAAATGCAGTGTGTGTATTGTTTCAACATGAAAGACAATCACCTTTAATGGAGAATTGATGATCTGTCCATTGGATCAAAATAACTTCTAGAAAAACTATCTTTCCTTGTCTGAGAAGGCAGCAGGTTATATAGTTAAACTTTATAGCATCATCTCTTTCCATGAGAATAGTTCTACCCACATGATTAGGCATTCTCATTTGAAAGTAAGGAATGTTGTACCCTCTAAACATCACCTGACCTTTCATTGGAGGACATCGTTGTGTACTTTCATGTACATAGTGCAACTTTACAGCTGTTTCTTCCATGGTCAGACTAGGTGTTATCTCAAGGGAACAAAACAATAGGTAGCTCGAGGGAAAGTAACTTACAAACTTGTTTTGTAATTAAGCACAAAGCTACACAATGGGCTATCTGTGCTCTGCCCACCACGGGTATCAAAACCCGGATTCCAGCGTTGTAAGTCCGCAGACATACCGCTGAGCCACTGAGGGGGCTTGTGTTATGTGAAACTGTACTACTTTGAATTTAAAAAGTCTACATAAAAATATGATGCTAGAAAATGCATCATATGCCTGCATTCCACATAACTAAGTTCAATGTACTGTGCTGGGAAAACTATGCAATAATGGGGGGAAAAGAATCACAACATTTAACTTATTTAAACCCGTAATTCCTTGTGCATTTTGCCAGAATTATTTTTGTGACTTCCTAATAATTATCTCCATACCCCATAAAACTTCAGTTTTCTAAATTTTGTGGAAAATAACATGGTTTGGATTAGTTTTCAGCCAAAGAGACACAAATGTTATTGGATGTTGTCACCATCCAATGAGTAAATTTGGATTTTTTGCCGGATGCTGGTGATTCTGCTTGGGTTTAAGGAGTTAATATTCATTTTCTCCTTTTTCCATTTATGAATTTTGATTTTAGAACCAGAAACATCACATATATTCAAGTAATTTTTAAATTACTTTTTACTTTAATAGAAAAATAGTTTGCAAAACAACACAATGATTTAGGTCCTTTTTTTTCATCAGAGATTTTAATTTTTTTTGAATAGTTTGAAGTTGCAGTGCTACTTGTAAAGTAGAGGCTTTAGGTTTATTTGGTTTAATGTTCTTTTTATAGTTAGATGTTTAAGTGTTAGTTGGATAGTCAGAAGTTGTTCTGTATTATAATAAGCTTTAGCTATATATTTCTGAATAAAATTTGTATTTTCTCTTTCAGAGATCCTCACATCCTTCAGCTACAAATAATGCTCTCCAGGTGAGTTGCATTCATTCTGTTGTCCTGAATTAGTCATGGACTCCTGCTGATGTGTATTTAGTCATGAACTTCTACCGACATGTGCTTAGTCATTAGCTCATACTGATGTGTACTTATTCATTAACTCCTGCTGATGTGTATTTAGTCGTAAACTCCTACTGATGTGTATTTAGTCATTAACTCCTAGTGATAAATGAAGCTAAATTATTATAGGTTGATCTAATAAATTGGAATATTATTTTACATTGTGCTATTTTGTTCAATCATATTTATTTAATTCTTTGTGCTTGTAGAAAGCAGTGAAATGAGATGTCAGTAATAAAATAAGTAACACAAAAAGTGCTTGATATCTCTCAATACTTCAAGAAATTATTTTGATTACAGGAAGCACTTAAAGAAAAGGAAGATCACATTGAACAACTCCTTCGGGAAAGAGACCTGGAACGAGCAGAAGTAGCTCGAGCTGCAGGTCAAGCAGATAAGGTGTTGATAATCATCTTTGGATGTCTTAGTTAATTAACTAATGTGGCACAGGTTTTTCATCACCATGCACTTGTACTGTGGCTTTTGCTTATAATTATTAAGCTAACTAAACACTGCAAAATGTTGTGCACTCTTGTCTATTTGCCCAAGCATCCATTAAGGCCATCAGCTAAACAATACAGTCAAACTTCCTGATCATAACTAAAACTGATTATTTTTAGAAATGTTAGCTTAATTTGTTAATTATAGTCTTCAGCCTTCCTGAATAAAAAAAAATATGAAGAATCAGTATGTTTAAGCTTACAAGTCCACAAGAAGACCAAACCACTTTACCTTTATGAACCTAACAACTAAGTGACCATTTTCCTTACATCAAATAAGTATTCCAAAATTATAACATAAATATGATTTAAGAAGGAAAAAAGTGTCTGCCATCTTTGTCTAGCTGACATATGGAGAAATATGATATTATATTTATGAGTTAATATATATATATATATATATATATATATATATATATACTATT